TTGTATTTTTCACATTTTAGAATACTTCTAGTACGAAGATTTCTTTGAAACTTTCAGTATTTCTGAAAAAATCATTTTGACAGACTGCTGCTATTGCTATGCAAAGCGAACGGATCGGATTAAAAGTAAATTTCCTCTTTGGAAAGAGGTGGCACAGAGCTCCCCACATCGTATGGATACAATAGTAAAACACAACGTACGGATAGGGTTAAGAGGCGGGACCTCCGAGTTGAACGTCCATCTCTGGAAGGCCCAGAGCCAAAAAGAAAATTCACGTGACGACTGTAAGGCTGAAAATATACTGCCATGCATGACAACTACAGTGCGCCATGTAAAAAGTCGTGCCCTTCTCTTTATTTCCTATCGGTGATTTCACTGACACGACTAGACGGGAGGACCCAAAAAGACGGGCATGCATGCAGCACTTCCTCTTCACATGCGGACAGGCTGCCCTGCTATAGGATAGTTCCGCGACGCCGTGGAGATAAAACAAAAGGGAGGGCCCGGCCACTGATCTGTATATATATATGCCTGCTCAGAGCCATTTTTTACACTTTTACACAGTCGGGCGGAGTCGCGCTGACCTGTGGGATCACCACTTCCGAACTAACTGCTCGTACGTTTTGCGGCGCACTTCAGTTGTGCGTGGCAGTATATTTTCAGCCTAACTAACAATAACATTGCTGATCACACCAAAAACGACAAAAACAAACATACATTTTGTAGATCATGCAACATGACAAAAACATCAGACTCAAGAACACTGCTGGTAGAAAAACCAAAGTTTGTTTTCTTGAAACAAGAACATGAAAAAAGTTGTACACTTTTCTGTCTATCATAAAAGTAACGTAAAAGTAACTGTAACTCTGACACACACACATATAATGCAGGAGGGACAATTTGTACACATTTCCGTTCATCGTACATGGAATTTCGAAGTAACTTCTTACTGTCTGGACATACAGCACATTCATGGAACAAGTTGTCGCCTACACATGTTTGTTTGTTACTTTCCCACAAGTAACAGCTTGTTGTACCGGTACCAGGAACGCATTGTACACATTCATTTCTGACCTAAAAGTAACATTTGAACATTGGTTACATTTCAGTTGCATTGTACACATTCATTTCTCCCCTAAAAGTAATGTACATTAGTTACAATAAATTGAATGAAACTGCACACATATTTATTTCCTAAAAATAATATTTGAACATTAGTTACAATAAATTTAATGAAACTGCTAGTATTGTACACATCTGTTTCTTTCCTAAAAGTAACATTCGAACATTAGTTACCATAAGTTACAAGTAGGCTACCTTAGTATAAGAAATAATTGTTGGCCTACTCATCAGTTTCTAGTTTCTATCCGAAAAGTAACAGCTGAACATTAGTTACTAGATCTATTTCATTTTTATGTAGAACAAATTGTACACATTTGTTGTTGTTTTTTGCTTTTGTTTAGTTTTAGGAAGAGTTTTAGGGCACTTGCAACAACAATTGGTCATACAAGTGCTGTTCGTTTTAGTAAGGTGTTACGGCGCTCGCAACTGCATAAGGTCATATGAGCGCCAAGGGGTGGATGTCAACAGAGAAATCCAAAAGGGGAATCAGGCTTACTCTGCTCACCTCTCTAGCCTCAACAGCACAAAGTCTGCTTCGACTATCAAGGCACCCCTGAAATAGCAGTTCACAAAAGAGTGACAAACATACAAAAGAAGTAGAGGAAAAAATGACAATAGTAATTACTAAAAGTAAGGATGAGGAAAGAAAAAGCAGCAGTTCCCCCAATGTTGTTCCGGCACAGTATGAGCATGACATTGATAAATTGGCCCATTTGTCATAGTGGTCATACAAGTGCTGCAGATTGGAGGTGCTGCTAGGGAGTAACATTATATCATAGAGAGAAAAGAAAAAGAAGGAGGAGAGATAAGGACCACAGGTTACATCTAGCTCTTTCTTTACTATAAAAACCCTATCGTCCTAATCTCTCCTCCTCCTTCTCTTTTACTTTTAGTAAGAGTTTTACGGCACTTGCAACACAATAAGGTCATATAAGTGCCGAAGATTAGAGGTGTTACAAGAGAGTAACAAACACAAAAAAAGAACGAGGAGAGACAAGGACGATAGATGTTTGATAGGAAAGAAGAAGCAAACCACACCAGAGCACCCACCAACCACCCACCTCCTCCTCTTTGTATGTTAGTCTCTAGTGACACCTCTAATCTTTGGCAATTATAAGATCATAAGACCTGAATTGTGTTGCATGTGCCACAAAACTCACCTATAACTAAAATGAAGCAATTTAAAAAAATGGGCCCCACAATATGTTTAGTGTCTATCGCAAAAGTAACTTATGTACGGTAGGCTACCCATTTAATACAGTTCAGACTATCATATCATAGAAATAATTTTCAAGTTTTGTTGACATAAAAGTAACTTGTGTACATTTTTAGACAGTTTTGTTGCCATAAAAGTAACTTACAGTCTAGCACACACAGGGCAAAATAGGCAGGACGCGCAAATCTTTTCCTTATATTTATATATACATAATATATATTTATATGAATTTCGCTATTATACATACATTCTAAATACAAAGAATATATATATATACATGAAGTAGGCTACATGACATCATGTTAGAAAACAAATTTTGGATTTGAAACCTGTTCACTATGTATTTATGTTTCACTCAGTGCATGCAAGACTACTACCGTACTACTAAATATTTATAGATAGAGAACCACAAAAGTAACTAATGAACATTTTTAGACATTTTGTTTCCACAAAAGTAACTTCCTATTATTGTCATGCTCATAAGGTAAATGCCTATGTCATTTTAACCATTCGAGAAAATGAGAAAAAACTGTTTCTTTCGAACAATTGACGCTGGGCACTAGGAAATGACTGAATTTTGATACCACTCAATTGATTTTATATATTTGGACTATTCTTTTGTCCAAATGATCTTTATTGCCAAGCTGGCTCTGCTCTTCATTTCAGAATCGAAAACTCCAAACCGGCCAAAAATGACTTTAAAAGCAATTATCTTATGAGTGTGACGATGTTATACAGTTTTGTCTTCATTAAAGTAACTCCTGCAGTGTATACATACAGTTTTGTCTATCATTAAAGTAACTCCTGCAGTGTATACACACAGTTTTGTCTACCATTAAAGTAACTCCTGCAGTGTATACATACAGTTTTGTCTATCATTAAAGTAACTCCTGCAGTGTATACATATAGTTTTGTCTATCATTAAAGTAACTCCTGCACAGTGTACACGTACAGTTTTGTCTATCATTAAAGTAACTCCTGCAGTGTATACATATAGTTTTGTCTATCATTAAAGTAACTCCTGCAGTGTATACATACAGTTTTGTCTATCATTAAAGTAACTCCTGCAGTGTATACATACCGTTTTGTCTATCATTAAAGTAACTCCTGCAGTGTATACATACAGTTTTGTCCAGCATTAAAGTAACTCCGGCACAGTGTATACATACAGTTTTGTCTATCATTAAAGTAACTCCTGCAGTGTATACATACCGTTTTGTCTATCATTAAAGTAACTCCTGCAGTGTATACATACCGTTTTGTCTATCATTAAAGTAACTCCGGCACAGTGTATACATACAGTTTTGTCTATCATTAACTCCTGCAGTGTATACATACAGTTTTGTCTATCATTAAAGTAACTCCTGCAGTGTATACATACCGTTTTGTCTATCATTAAAGTAACTCCTGCAATGTATACATACCGTTTTGTCTATCATTAAAGTAACTCCTGCAGTGTACACATACCGTTGTGTCTATCATTAAAGTAACTCCTGCAGTGTATACATACAGTTTTGTCCAGCATTAAAGTAACTCCTGCAGTGTATACATACCGTTTTGTCTATCATTAAAGTAACTCCTGCAATGTATACATACCGTTTTGTCTATCATTAAAGTAACTCCTGCAGTGTACACATACCGTTGTGTCTATCATTAAAGTAACTCCTGCAGTGTATACATACAGTTTTGTCCAGCATTAAAGTAACTCCTGCACCGTGTATGTCTTATACAGTTTTTGCCTTTCACACAAGCATCTGGAAAGTAACGTACACAGGCAAACATTTGTGGCTGTCATAAAGGTAAGCTTAAAGTAACGTGTTTGTACATTTGAGCATCCATGGGGGGACGAGTTATGCATAGAGTTCCATTTATCATTTTAAAAAGTAACATTTTTACTTTTACACATGCGTACATACACGAATCAAGTTGTACACAGTTCTATATAACATAAAAGTAATGAATGTTCACAGAGAATCTATCATGTACGTTGATCTGCAGGAATAAGTTGCACACACTTCTAACATAAAAGTACGTACTTGACGTGCTGTTCTTGTTGTACACAGTTCTGGCTGACATAAAAGTTCCGGTAACCCGTATGTACATGTACACATACAAACATGAATCAAGTTGCACACAGTTCTGGCTGCTGACATAAAAGTAATGTATATGTGTACATCAATGTGTACCGTACATTACAAATTTACATACACAGGTCAAGTTGCACAAAGTTCTTTCTAACATAAAGTAATTTATTATATGTACATCAATGTGTACCGTACATTACATACACAGGTCAAGTTGCACACACTTCTTTCTAACATAAAAGTAAAATATATACAGTACTATTATGTACAATAAGCACATGCGTGCGCGCTGACATGTGAACATAAAAGCAATGTACCTACAAATGTTGTACACAGTTCCATCTAACATTTTTAAAAGAAACATTCTACGAGCGTGGGGTAAGCTGTGAAGAGTACACTTCAAATAAACCAAGAATGGAAATGATTAACACTTTGATACCCCTGCCCCAGTCTAAGTTCACCCTTTGAGCGGGCTTCCCACCCTGTCCGTCCGTCGGGGCCAGCCTAGGCTGAGAGAGAGAGAGAGAGAGATACAACATCCCAACAGAAAGACGGAGATACTAGCCTACTTGATAAAATCTTTCTCCCCACTCTGGAAGAGGAATCGACCTTGGGTCTCCTGCGTTCCACAGCGAAGTGCCTAACTGCTACACCACCACTAGCCCCAGTTCCCCGCTTTCTCCACACCTTCCAAGGGCAGACAGCAAAGTAGGCTAAAACTAAAACCCCTCTCTACAATATCCTATTTAATGGTCTCCCCTTTTTCTGCGGCCTCAAGCAATGACACTGCCCATCCGCCATCACCGTCACCACTCTCTGCAGCGCATTCGTTTGTAGTCCCCCCCCCCCCCCCCAGAGCACCTTGGGTTCGAGTCTTCCCCGAAAGCACTGTGCACAGCCCAGCCAGAGAGGGACACAGAAGCCATGAACTTATAGTGACCAGCCCAACCGAGTCCATCTGAGATTTTCAAAAATATATATGTCACAATGGAATCAGGCGCTCGTCAATTTTTTATCATGCAGAGCAACTGGTATCACCTTAAAGCTTGTTAATTTGTCTTGCTTTTGATGAAAAAAGTACTCATCTATCTTACATAGAAATTGAGAAATTTGCTATTGAAAAATGTGGGGTTCGCCTAGTTTCAGAAATAAAATAAGCGAGAAATGTCCACCAAAATGCGGTAACTTCCGAAAATTTTTCCGTAAAATTCACGAAGACATTTGTCTTCAAATGGAACATAAAAGCTGTTATCAGTACGCCAAAAAACAAAAATTCGATAAAAACTGTCAAACAGGCAGAGAAATGCCGGTTTCTTCAATTTCAAAATTTTGACGAGCGGCTGATTTCACCGCGCTGCCTCACATATGAATGTGTTTTTACGTTCCCATTATTAACTTGACACAATTTAAGCCTACATTATTTAGCAGGAGGCAGGCTTCCCACCCAACCTATCAGGGTTAAGCCAGGCCGAGAGGGATACAACGACATCGTAAAAGAAAGACGGGAGATACGTGATAAAAATTCTCCCAATCCCAACACGAGAATCGATCTCGGGTCTCCTGCGCGCGACATCGAAGCTTCACACCGCTACACCGTAGACGCCGGCTCCCACTGCTAGTGCTAGCTGATCCCTGAGCCAAAGAAGTGACCACCCTGACCGCCGCTTCCCCCAGAACCTGTTTCCACCAGCGGGTCCTCGCTGCCACCAGCCTCTCTTGCACCGCTTTCGGTGTCATTGTCATCATATGACCACGCCTTGTCGCCATAGCAACCAACGCCAACACCACTAGCATCACCAAAATCACCACCACCACCACCATCACCACATGGTAACACCTCTGCATTCTCATTGCGATTATAACCGTTTACATCAACATGGTCGCCATCACCATAGTAACCGTCATCATCACCATTATCATCTCCACCACCACCAGCAGCAGCACTATCACCCTCATATGGTGAAACCTCAGCCTCCTCATTTCGACAACCATTTGTACCAACATCCTCTTTGTCATCATTATCATTATTACCATCATCATCATGATCATCTTCGTTACCACAAATACCACCGACATCATTATCTTTACCACAAATACCACTGACTTCATCATTATCACCACCAACATCATCATTATCGCCACCAACATCATCATTATTACCAGCAACATTACCATAGATATCATCATCGACATCAAAACCTACATATGTCGGAATCTCACTAATCTCAGCACTATCATCGCCATAACCGGGAGCATCACCATCACCATCAACATTACCGCTATCACCATCATCACCACCGACATCATCAACACCATTAAAACCACCATCTCCACCACTGATATCATCGTAGTCACCACCAAAACCACCATCTTCACCACCGACATAATCATCGACACCACCTTGACCATCATCACCATCGACATCATTATTATCATCACCATCGACATCATTATTGTCAACACCACCATCATCATTATTGTCAACACCACCATCATCACCACCAACATCATTATTATCAACGCCACCACCGACACCATCATCACCACCTGAACCACCAACATTATCATCATCACCACAAACACCACCATCATCATCAACAACATCCCCATCAAGACCACCGACGCCATCATTATCGACACCATCACCCCCACCAATACCATCATCAAAAGTCGGAACCTCAACACCGTCATTGCCACAACTGTGAGTAACAACATCATCATCATTGTTATCATCATCACCACCACCATCATCATCACCAACATCTCCATCATCTCTCTCACCTGGTGGAACATCAGCACCATCATTGCCACCTCTGTTACCGTTAGCAAGAACATCAGCATCATTACCACCATCATCATCATCATCACCAACAACATCTCCATTATCATCACCATCCTTATCCTCACCATCATTTAATTCATTATCATCCCCATCCTCACACGGTGGTACCTCTGCACCACCACTGCCACTTCCATTATCATCACCATCATTATCATCATCCCCCTCGCTGTCGTCCTCCTCCTCTTCCTCCGCACCAGAATCCTGAGAAATGGTCACCTTCCATCCATCAATCTCTTCCCCGTCCAGAATGTCTTCCTTCACTCCTTCGCTCCCCGCGTCTCCATCACCTTCATTCCTCCCTGCCTCGATCTCTCCATCGCGGCAGAAAGCTCCGTCACCATCCGTGACCTCTTTCGAAGAGTCCGCGGTGCGGAGTCGTTTCCCCTCCGGGGCGCTACGACCTTCACCTTCCGCACCCCGCTTCTGACCGACCCTGACCCCGGTCCCATCCGGCGGAAGAGAGGGGTTCGAATCCACACACACTACGTCCATGTCTTCGTCGTCGTCGTTCACTTCTTCAATTTCGTCGTCAATGACGATAACTTGCGACGGCTGCGGAGGCACCCTCCTAAGCCCCCTCCCTCTCTCTCCTATCCCTACCCCTCTCCCTCTCTCTCCTACCCCTCTCCCTCTCTCTCCTACCCCTCTCCCTCTCTCTCCCCTCCCTCGGCCGACATCAGTCCTCCCCTTCCGCCCCCACCCCCTGCCGTGAACAGGGCAACTCGAAGACGGACGCGACGAGACGCTTCCCATCGCAGAAGACGGTGCTTCCGTGACCCCACGTACCCGTCCATGCGGCAACCTCACATCGAGCGACCCATCTCCACGGCCACCACCACTACCACCATCCCTCCCGACAAACCGCGAGGCTTTACCCATGATAACATTCAACGCCCCACTGCCCCTCCCTCTCCCACCCCCTGCCCTACTTCTCCCCCTCCCACCCCTTCCCACCATCCCCGCCCCACCGATCCCCGCCCCACCGATCCCCACCATCCCTCTCCCCGCCCCATCAGTCCCCACCATCCCTCTCCCCATCCCGCCAAACCCTGTCATCCCTCTCCCCATCCCGCCAATCCCCACCGTCCCGCCAATCCCCACCATCCCTCTCCCCATACCTCCAAACCCTGTCATCCCTCTCCCCATCCCGCCAATCCCCACCGTCCCGCCAATCCCCACCATCCCTCTCCCCATTCCGCCAAACCCTATCATCCCTCTCCCCATCCCACCGACCCCCTTACCCCTCCCCCGACCACCGCGGGAAACCGTCATCCCTGACCAAGAAGCCCCTTCAGGAGAAGACAAAACCACACTGTGGTCACGCCCGTCGCCACCGCTCAAACCCCGACCGCTGGAAGGAAGCCTCTGCGATGGTCTACCCCTGTGCGGGGAGACAGGAAGTACAGTAGACACGCCAGAGCCACTCCCCAGAAGCTGCATTGTCCGAGAAACACTGTCCGCGACACGCCCCATAGCCCCCCTCCTCCCCATGCCACCATCCATGACACGCGTCACACGCCCTCCCCTCCGGCGTGTTACACCGTCTGCAACACGCGTCACACCCCCTCCCCTCGCCCCCCTCACACTCTCCGATACATCCGGTATCACGGGAAAGCTGAGCATTTGTTCCACGTATTCCCGCGAGGCGATCTTCACCTGCTCAAGGTCGGTACCAAGTGACCTTCCGCGACCTCCTCCTCCTCCCGGCCTCCCTCCCCTCCTCCTCCTCCTGCCTCCGTTGGTGGACATCGACAAGTGATTCTGCGCGGGGCTGGGTGTGATGTCTGTCAAACATACTACGTCGTCGTCATCATCATCCTCTTCCATGTTCTTGAAACGAACAGTTTTGGTTGCAGCAGCAGTAGCAGTAGAAGCAGCAGCAGTAGAAGCTGAACTTGTACCTTTCAAACAACCATTTGAGGCCGTCGCATTGTTTTTACTGTTATTGCTGCTGCTGATTTTGTTGTCGCTGTTGCTGCTGCTTTCCACAGAACTCTCTGGAATAGCATCTTCCGCCACCACCGCTGTACTCCCGGGGTCACTTCCTGTCTCCTGTGATACACCCGATGATGACGCAGACACGTGAGCATCGGTGGATGAAGTAGATGATTGGCCGTTCGATGATGATGATGACGAAGCCGTATGGATGCCCGATGACGATGAAGATGACGATGTAGACAAATGGATGCCCGATGATGATGATGATGATGTAGACGTTTGGATGCCCGATGATGACGATGGCGTAGATGAAGGGACGTCTGACGATAAAGATGGAGCAGACGTATGGGCGGCATCCAGAACGTTCTTATGACCAGACTGTGCGGCCTCTCGTGACCCACTTCCACTCAGACGCTCCTGTCTCTGCCTGAGCCTCTCCCCCCGCGACATTTTCCCGCTGCGGGGCATGACCTCAAGGTCATCCTGTGCCCACAGCTCATCCTCGTCCTCGTCAATGTACGTGTACTTTGGGCTGGCTTTTTTCGGCGGAGCGTCCAGCACACGTCCCGTGTGACACCCACCAGCCCCCCACAGGCCGGAAGATGGTGGCGGCATCATCATCATCATCGACGACGTGGGAAAGCCGCCAGACTTAGCGCCCGCACCACCTCTACCTCTGGCCCGACCCCGACCTTGACCTCTGGCGCGGCCACGACCTCTTACGCGACTTCTGCCTCCTACCTTCATTTCGGGCGGGTTTCCACCACCCCTTCCGCCCCACCTCCCTCCTCTTCCTCTTCCTCCACCATCTAATCCTCCTCCTCCTTCGTACGGGAAGATATCAAAACCTGGCACATCAACCGGAAGCCCGAGGTCGGCCAGGTTTTTCAAGTAGGCTGCCACTTTGTCGTTCTCCTCCTGACTATCCACAACGTCTCGGTCCAACTCCACCACTCCCTCACCCTCTCTGTCCTCCTCCTCCTCCTCCTCCTCCTTCATCCACCCATTAGGGGCCGGCCTCCTTTGTGATGCGGGACAGGTCTGGAACAGAGAAAAATCTTGTTGCAATTATTATTTGAGGTTGGTGAGGGGGGGGGGTTGTGGAAAAGAGTGAGACAGACGCCTCAAAATCACAGCCCCTTGGCCCTTAGACTTAGACCATATTGTGTGATATATAGACACATATTGTGTGAATAGATCTATATATTTTTTTT